AATGAATAGTGGGATTGACTGTCACATTATAACACCCCCACGGCTGAAAGGGTGAGCATGTTTGGTGTGACGGGGATTCGAACCCGCGATCCTCAGATTGTGAGTCAAGTGCCCTAACCACCTGGCCATGCCGTGCCAGGTACTACCATACACTGTTTAATAAAGTATTGTTGTATAAACAAATAAGCCATTCAAGAACATTATTTAACTATACTGGGCATATTCTAAAGGTTTCCAAAAATATTATAGATGAAATTTCTAATATTCATTTCTGAATGACTTAGTATCACATCTTAAGGCCAGTGTTTTCTATTTTATGATAGGCTACTGTTCAATAACAAAGAAGTCAGACCAACAACCCACAAGAGATTCAAGCATAATTTTCAAATAAGCTGCCTGTAATGTGCCTACACTTAGATGTTTGAAAAGCTGGAGGTAGATCTTAACACATGAATGTTGAAAGATGAAAGTGTTTAAATACACAGTATTAAAAAATACATTACAATTTTGTTTTTTGCCTTGTTGCCAAACAAAATATAAAAGTAATACAGATTCAGCTTTTAGACTTCCAAAAGCTTTCAACAGTCGTACTGAAAGGTATTACCGTAACTTCAGCTAGGGTTTTCTAGTAGCTGACTTTTAGCAACTGAAGAACAAGAGCCAAAAGAACACTGGCATGAATTTATGCACTCAAGAAGGATAAATAAAGTTCTATCCTTCAAAAGCAGGGTAGAAATAATCACATTAGAATCTCCTTAGCTTTTAATCAAGACTTAATGTACCTATTAAGGCAGTTCTCTGAAGAAAGGGTATGTAAATATAATTCCAGTATATGTTTATTTTGCAAAGTTAGATATAATGACCCAAGTTTGGTGAACAGTATAATGTAGAATGTATTCCAAACTTTGTAACTACAATTTTTATTGTTATAAAGCTTAGCTCAGGTTATAGTTCATAACCAAACCATTATTGTCATCCACTCTGTGAATTGGCTACAAAAGTTTATAAACTAGATTAGCTGATGGGCATAAATGGTGTTTGCAAACACCAATTTAAAACAAAATGTTCCTTGGAGATGTGCTCATTTCACACCAGTGGTTTTGCTTTCAGATCTTCTCATCTATTTTACAATCCTATTTATTGCCTTTTATCATATTTAATGAAACTGTAATTTACAATTTAAATGCTTTACGTAAAATTAAACCAAAGAAAAATCTTTGATGTGTTATAAGATGACAGAAGTTAAATAAACAATGTATACACACACCCATCTTGTACAGTGAGGCCTGGATGTTGTTTTAATCTTCAAACTGAATCTTTCCTGTTCTATAACACAACTCTATATACATAATACATAAATAATACATAATGGATGATTTATTACTTAAACTAACAACTTACACTGATAATTGCCTGATGCAGTGGAAGCCTTCCTTTGTCTTCCAGATTTACCCAGTTGGAGTCTCCTCCCATACTTTGAGCCTGACACATAACTGGCAAGTTGTGAACTGCAGCCGCTCTAAAAAAATCGAACATGTGAACTGTGGCCACTTAAAAAAAATCAAACACCTGATTCAAGTATGCACCAAATGCATAAAACAAATTTAGAAAAATTATCACAGGAATAAAAACATTTTAAGCAATCTAAATAAAACCCAATATTCTTATTCTGAAATACAAGATAAGAAATCTTCATTAGGTTAATTTAAAAAAAAAGATTTAATGTTAGGTGAAATAGCTTACACCAAATTCCAGAACATCATGTTAATTCAAAACAAGCAAATAAATAATTTACTTTTATTAAACAAGTAAACAAAAACTTGTATTGTCAAAAAAAAAGAGAAAAAATACCCACATCTAGCTCATTCAATTCTCTTGACTCCACTCAACATATTTTCATTGTTCTTATCAGACTCCTTAACATTTTACAGCTACTACACTTTTGATATACAGAAATTAAAAACTAATAACGCTGTTGTTAATTTTTCAACTTTGTTTTTTAACTTACTGTGTGCTTAATGTGTATGTTTTTCTTATAGCAAAGCCACATCAAGCAATCTGCTGTCCACTGGGGGGAAACGTACCCCTGATTTTAGCATTATAAATCTATAGACTTACTGCTGTACCAGTGGGGGAAATTGCTTTAATAAAATTATTGGCAAAATCTGAGGTTTTTGCTCATGAACTATCCATCACTTTTTTATAAAAAGATGTTCATATATCCTGTTCTTCTTATGAACAAGTTCATGCTTTCTGTGTTGAACAATAACAGTTAATACCATACCTCGTAAGAAATTTAAAACTGACACAATATCTGAATTTAGTTCAAAATGATATAAAATTAGTAGCTATCCTTTGTTGTGATTGTTATTTTGGATGTAGAATGGTATTTAAATGAACCTTTAAGACAATATTATGACACCACTTATTATCAGGTCCCCTCCACTGACTGTACTGATACAATAATCTTGAAGTTCTTAACACTTAAGAAAATTAAACTGGTTTTGAATAAGTAATGTCACAAACACCAGATAAACTGCACGTGACTTTCAACCACTTCTTTTGAAAGACAGGTAAGTTTATTTTAGTTGTTATATTCTGACCATCTAATTGTTTTTCCCAAAATAAGACTAATCTTCTCAATGAAAAGTAGGTCTTCTTCTTTCCGTTTTATAAATTTATTATTTTCTCCTTTTTCATAATTTCTTATATTGTTTTAAATGTTAAACAACTTGATCAGTTTGAGCTCTTTTTGTTTAAATTATTAACATCTACCTCCAAGTTTGTCCCTTTTCAGTAAAATGAATAAAAAAAAAAAAAAAAATTTTTGAACTGTGTGCATTTATAATTTACAATATCACAAGCAGAATATATATTATTCTTTTTTTTAAATTTATAATAAATAATTAAAAACAACATTTTATATTTACACAAGAAAAACTTTATTGAAGCCGTACGGGTTCCACATTAAAAT